TTTTGATTTCTTTTTAAAGTTAATAAAGAATAGAGTTTTAAAAATAAAAAGTGTCAAAAAATACAAATAATTTAACGAAAACAAATTTTTATTTTTTATTTATTTATATCATATTGTAATTTGTAATACTTTTTATAAACTATAAAATATTTATATAATGAAAACGAATTATTTTTTGAAATACATTTACAAAAAATATATTTTTTTGATTTCTTTTTAAAGTTAATAAAAAATAGAGTTTTAAAAATAAAAAGTGTCAAAAAATACAAATAATTTAACGAAAACAAATTTTTATTTTTTATTTATTTATATCATATTGTAATTTGTAATACTTTTTATAAACTATAAAATATTTATATAATGAAAACGAATTATTTTTTGAAATACATTTACAAAAATTATATTTTTTTGATTTCTTTTTAAAATTAATAAAATGTAAACCCTCCTCCTTTATTTGAGTTTGGGACCGGCTATATCAATTTTAAGTAGGCAGAATTAAATATTGTACACGAATAACTTGTTGTAACGTGTACAATTTTTTAAAGAAAATTAAATTTAACGATTAAAAAATAAAAAAAAATTTGATTAATATAATTAAATCAAATATCACTTACCTGACGATATGCAATTTCAGCGTATTTATCTTGTAGTCGAAAATGAGCGTCCTGTCAATCCTTCACACACATTAACGCTTCCAAATTATCTTTTTTCAGTCGACTCCTGATATCGGTCAAAACCCTTTTACCTGCACTAAAATCAGACTCCGAAGCAACAGTGCTAACCGGGGGTGTCAATAGATCTTTCACAATTGCAGAAACAATTGGCCAACGTCTTTCATACTTTCGCCAGAATTCCATTACTTCTTAAGAAAATTTTTTAATTGTTCTATCTGTTGGCATATTATGATTAAAATAATCAATTAATTCGGCAGGCATCACATTTTGAATATCAACCGATATTTGATGAGATGCAGATGTAGATGACATGGCACTAGATGAACACATTGCAGTTGCATCATATCTAAATGTATTAATACCCTGAAGTAAATTCATTATTTTCGCAGCACCTTCTTCAATTTCAGCAAAGGAATAAGTGCAGCAGAAGGTACCCGACTAACATTCGCACCCATTCTTTCCACATATAAATCATACATTCCACATAATGTTTACTCTAAATTCTTATGGATGATAGGTATATCAAATATTAAAACTTTATTGATTTGATCGATTACGTATTTAGTTCCCGAAATATTATATCGGGAGTTCATTGCGCATGCTAAAGGAAATAACATAGGCAGTTCTTCCCAATATTTTCTAAACTTTAATTCCATAGCAATTAAAATTTCACTAAAAGTATTATCATTTTTATATTTATGGAATGTTCTTACAATTATATAAAGGCGTTCAAGCACCATACAGTTTATGGGATAATAAACGCCAGATAAAATCTTTATGGTCTCATAAAAAGATGTCAAAAATCGTTTAACTTTCAAAGTTAAAATCCAATCGGATTCATTTAACATACCATCGTCATCACTTCTAACATGTCTATTGTTATAAAAGTCAGTTATTAAATTTTCGAAACCTTCACATGATTTTAATAGCAAGTATGTAGAATTTCATTTATGACCTACGTAGCTAATAAATGTTTTAGCAGTCATCGCCCCTAGTTCGACACAAAAATCTTCAAATGCTTGTTTTCTATTAGGAGAGATCGTAATATATACTAATGCATTCCTAATCCTTTGAAATTCATCATTTATATTTTAAAACCATCTTGCACAATTAAATTCAAGATATGACACACACAACGAATATGAAACAAATACCCACCAAAATCAGGTTGAAGTGTCCTATACAATTTATCGACGACTACCTTATGTTAACTAGCATTATTAAAAATAAAAGATCGAATTTTAGTTTCACAATGATATTCTCTAACAATACTGATAATAGCATTATATATATTATTAGCATTGTGAGGAAATTCAATAATTTTAAAAACAATAATCTTTTTATGCATGCACCAAAGTGGATATATATAGTGTGCGATTGCAGTTATATATGCTCTTTTATTAACCCCTTCCCATATATCAGAAGTTAAGGATATAACACCCCTATATTGTTGCAAATTCATAATTAATTGTTGTTTTGAATTATTGAAATAATTTATTGTATCAGCACGAAGAGTGTTTCGACTTACCCCAACGTACCTCGATTGTAGATATTCTTTCACGAACGAGACGAAGTGTTGGTTGTCTGTAATACCTAGAGGCAACTCAGTAGCGGCAACAAATTTCACCATTCCGGTTCGAGTATCGTCCTCTGAATACACCCACGTAGATAGGGGTGAAGTTGTAGAGCTGGTGCTTGGACTGCTAAATTGTAATTGTGTTTGACCAGCTGGAAGAAGTCCATGTTTGGCTGCACATGATTTGTAGTGGCGGTTGAGATGAGTGGTACCAATTCTTTTTTGCCAAACCAATCTTTGTTGGCAATATTTAAATACTGCTTTAGATTTTGTAAGGTCATCAACGACTTTTCCTGTTGAAATCAATTTAAAGTGATCCTAACATTTTGCTTGTTTTTTGGCCTTTCGCTTTCCCCTCGCATCCGGGATATTTAATTGCTGATATCCATCTTCATGTTCCGTTTCGGGAACGTTAATATCATCAAAATCAATTGGAGTGTGGCTTCCCTGACCGTGAATGTGTACATCTTTAGGTATCAGTATGTTATTTAGACCGGCAAATTCATTTGAAAATTGACTTTGCGGCGTCCTAGGCGATTCTCCATGATGTGGCAGTGGCTCACGTCCTGTATCGAATAAGCTCTCAACAAATAAACGTTGATCCATTTCTGTGATTGTTTATGATGAAATATTGACTAGATGAATATAAATGTAGTGAGATTGTGAGAATTGAGAATTTGATGAATTGAAATTGTAACTAATAAACTGTAAAAATTGAATTGATATTGTATATTTTGCTGTATAAGAGAGTAAAAACTCGATAATTGATATAATAAAAGAGGATTGTAATTTTGGAAGAGCAATTGATATAAAAAAAAATTTTGGGGGAAGGGGGTATTTATAGTAAAAAAAGGGGGGGAAAAGTGACCAAAACAGTCACTTTTGTGACCGTTTTGGTCACGGGCTCGACGAGGCTCGTGGCTTGTCTCGGCTCGCCTCCCGACGAGGCCCGCTCGGTTCGTGCTCGGGCTCGTGATTTCAAGAGCCCGAACCGCTCACGAGCCTCTTTTCCACAAGCCAAGTCGACTCGGCCCAATTGACTTCCCTAAGTATGCTATTGATTTTTCAATGGCAGGACTGCTATTGACTGAAGCCATGCATGCAGACTTTTACTTAGGCGAGCCTACTCGGCTCGTCTAGAGTCTTAAATGATCTTGACTGCGAGTTAAAAGTGAACCAACGAGAAGGTCATTTCGGGAAATCATTGCTCACCTCGCTAGTGAGACGAGATGAGTCAAGGCGATCAATTCACCATACTTTCCACTCCTAGTCTAAGGTCCAGTTCATTTATATTTATTACTTGACTATCGAAATTTTTTGAAATAGTCACAATTAAGAGTCGTAAAATATTATTGAGTTTGTCAATATGAGTTTCATATATCAATAGGAAGTCGGCATCATCTAGAATCGAGATTTGCAAATGTGTTTCAATTTATCAGACTGCTAAATTTCTTAAGAAAGAACGTAGTATTGACTGAAACAGCACTAGTAATGTAGTGCCAGTCTTTCTAATTACATTTATCCTTAGTCAATCATTGCTACACAACTATTCTACCTCATTATGCAAATTATCACTTGACTATATCAATAATTTGATATAAAATTAAGCAATTATGTTCGGAAAATATGTGATTTTTTTATTTTTTATTTTTGGAAAATCTATGTAGAAATATATATTTTTAAAATATATACATGATATATGTATATTTTTACCTCCTTAAAAGAATTTTCCCCCAACAAACAGTTTGAAATTGACAATTGAACTCTTATACTTACATGGAATAATTAACTGCGTTTAATAATTTATTATGTTATTTAATAGATTACATGTCTTAATTTAAGTTCAATATATTGACTTGTTTAATTTTCACTATTTATTGTCAATATCCCCAATATAGATGTGGTTCAATTTCGCAGGTTACAGTTCCTTAGAGGAACCAACATGAAAATTTCCAAAGGTTTTTCTGAACCTGAGCCTAATCAACGGTCTTGCGTCAAATCTATAGGTATGTTGAATAACCCATATTTTAGATCTTTTTGTTTTATTTTATTATACGGCTTGATTGATTATTATATTCGATAATCTAAGTTCGTTCAAGTCATTTACAATCAAGACTATAGAAATATAGTCGAGTTCATTTACTTACACACGTCAGTAGAAAATCACATTATCCCGATACTCTCAAAACTTCTACACTTGTTTCAATTAAAAAACGTGAGTGAAGAAAAGAGAAAAGAACAAGCTTCATATCATAACCTATTCTCCCCAACAAAACACCCCCTTAATTATAATTAATTGACTATTTTTATTCATTAGCAATGACACATTCAAAGAGATTTATTTATTGGGTGGAATTTATGGTATATATCATTCATTTAATACTTTATCTATATTTATGGATTGCGTTTCTAATTTTAAATTCATTACATTGACTTGTTTAATTTTCACTAGCAATAAATCTCTTCCAATAAAAATATTTTCTTATTTCGTCAGCATTTCTTCCATTCCACTTTCTTAGTGGGGCCAACAAGGATATACCGTAGATTTTCCTTTCCTTCTTAAAATAAACCTAAGCCCAGTCAACGGACTAAAATGAAATATAGGAATCTACTAACGGTTCAAAGTCTGGTTAATTCCATTTTCGAGTAGAATATTTAAACAAGATACCTAAACGGGGCATTAATTCGTTCTCATGTTCGTGAATCGATTGGAGTACTTCCGTACTATATATCTGTCAGTATAAAAAAACAAGAAACAGCAACGGACACCTCCGACCCATTGCTCATATCATATTCTATTATCCAACATGATTTCGGTACCGAGCCTTTCAAATCAGATGTACCTAAAAGAACAATTTCATTCCTTACCCTCTCTGGCTTCCCAGTTATCTGAGTAAGCAAATATTTAACACTGACATTAATATTATGAAATGTGTGTGAAATGTGAACTAGTCAAATTTCTTTTTCAGTTCTGGCCAGTCATGGGCCAAAACAGGATCTAAATTCTTTTGCTGGAAGCCAAGAATTAATATTAAACTGAGTCAGTCAAAGCAGTGTTCAAAGTCAATTGCCACCTTCCCAAAATGTGAACTGTGCCTTCTTTAATCTTCCCTCTGCTCTTTATTTAAACTCCAAATTCCTTTCATCTTTCTGTCAGCAGACAAAAACATTTGACAAGACAAACTCCCAAACAGTTTTTCTTCAGTTTCTGGTTAAGGAAAGAAGCAAAATGGCAATAATTGAAGCACCAAGAAGAGAATCAACAACCCCTATTACTCCCCGAAAAGCAATGGCAACCCTCTTCTCTTTCTCTAAAACAAACTCATCCATCTCTTCCTTTTCAAATCAATTTGCCCCTCCAACGCCGTCCCACACTTTTTCTGAGTCAATGATGAAAGAAAACATTGAAAACACAGAATCCATTATCATGAAATGGGATTTGAGAAGCAATTCGAAATTCACCTCGCTCTTTCAAGAAAGCAGAAAGGATGCCAAAGAATTCATCAAGAGTGTCAAGGAATTACGCAGGGCTATGCATTTTCTGATTTCCCAACATACAATATCCAATAAGCTAGTCATGGCACAGAACTTGATGCAAATTGCCATGCATCAGCTCGAGAAAGAATTCTATCAAATTCTGTCAGCAAATAAAGAACATTTGAATCCCGAATCAATATCTAGCCGATCATCACATCTATCGCGATCACTTTCAAGTCACTTGGATGATGAAGATGATGTCAGCTCTGTTAACGAAATGCAGGTGTCCAGTGATTCGATGTCTGGGGTGGAGCGCCTCTCCACACTTGCTATGTCTGACTTAAAGCTGATCGCTGATAGCATGATCCGCTCTGGTTATGGCAAAGAATGCATCGAAATATACAGAAACATCAGAAAGTCAATTGTGGATGAAGCACTATACCGTCTCGGCCTCGAGCATTTCACTTCATCCCAGATCAAAAGGATGAATCCCGAGGCTCTTGGGCATCATGTCAGTAAATGGATTGATGCAGCAAAGATTGCAGTGAGAACCCTCTTCCACGGCGAGAGATTTCTGTGTGACCGTGTATTTACTGCAAATGAAACAATAAGAGAATCGTGTTTTTCTGGTATAACAAGAGAGGGAGCTACTAAACTTTTCAGATTCCCAGAACTTGTTGCGAAGAGCCAGAGATGGCCAGAAAAAATTTTCCAGCTGATGAACCTGTACGAGGCAATATCGGATATCTGGCCAGAAATCGAGTCGATCTTCACGTATGAATCCCTCTCAGTGGTTAAACTACAAGCTTTTTCTTCTCTCCACAAACTCGGTGACTCCATCCAAAAGATTCTCTCTGAGTTTGAGTCATCAATTCAAAAGAATTCATCAAGAGCCCTGGTACCCGGAGGTGCAATTCATCCATTGACCAATTCAGTGATGAATTATGTGTCTTTGCTAGCCAACTACAGTGGAGTACTCTCCGATATTATTGCTGATTCAGTAACTACACCGCATTCACCTTTCCCGGAATCATATTTTCATAGCCCAAGCCTGGAGGAGAATCCAACCTCAGCTGTCTCTGCTCGACTGGCCTGGATCATTTTGGTGCTACTTTGCAAACTTGACAGCAAAGCAGAACTCTACAATAACATCGCCTTATCATATCTCTTCTTAGCCAACAATCTCCAATTTGTCGTTGAGGAGGTCCGCACCACAACACTCAAGTTCCTCCTCGGGGACGACTGGTTATCAAAGCTAGATAGAAAGGTAAAACTATATGCAGCAAACTATGAAACACTGGCTTGGAATAAGGTGTTCTTGTGCCTACCAGAGAATTTACCTCAAGAAATGTCACCTGATGCCATTAAGGGATATTTTAGGCAATTCTACTCAGCCTTTGACGAGGCCTATCGAAGACAGGCTTCCTGGGTAGTTCTGGATCCAAAGCTTAGAGATGAGATTAAAGTGTCCATAGCAAGTAAACTAGTGCCAGCATATCAAGAATTCTACGACACATATTTGGCAATATTAAGTGAGGAGAGAAACTTGGAAGTGTTGGTGAGGTTTTCACCCAACAATTTGGGAAATTACTTATCAGATTTGTTCCACAGGACTGTGGTTCCCGAAATTTCATCCTCATCCCTTTCCCATGTATCACGATGTCTTCCCTAATGTCATTATGAACTGATAAATAACTATTTATATCAATTTATTTCCTTCATAAAATTTCTGTATCAAGTATACTTTTCCATTTTTTTGAATTCAATAAATTCATCCTGTAAAAGGGTAAACCATCTATACAAAAAAACCTAAATTACAGAGCGTTTTTGTCAATCAAGTGCTCAGAGTTGGATCTGAAAGCATTAGTTTATCTATTACACGATGAAATTTTGAACAACTACATTCTGCACAAATAGTATTTGGCCAACAGGATGTAAAATTATGCGAATTATTGTACTACTATAAAGAGAATGGTACAAAGTTATGAAGCAAAAAGCCCCAGAAAGCAGGATTTGTAACAGAGGAAATGAATCAGAATGCAGATATTGTGAAAGAAACAGATATTGTGAAAGAAACAAGAATAATTTAACATTTACTTAAACCATGATATTCAAATATCAAGTGTTATAACATCTATATATTCAATAGAGAAAATGTTGATATTTTGTGTTCAATAAAATTTGACAAAGAATTTTAATAAGCTTATGCAGAAATATCTACTGCATGAATATTTTAAGTTCAAATTGCTGTCAAAGAAGAGATATACATATATGAGAACGGGAAGTTGTCACAGCAAGTCATGTACTGCTGCCAACTTGTTCTGCTGGCATAGTTATAGATTGCCAACCTGCACAGATTTGAAGAACAGCCTTGAGAGAATCTGATGCAAGTTCTAGTGTCCATGTAGGGTAAAAATCACTTGGATGGAAAATGGATTCTTCCTTTTCAATACTTCGTATACTTGCTTGAGCTCCATTCAGGAATAAATCTCCTTCAGATATAATTGAACCAGATATTTTCTCATCTTTATCTGCAGCCTAAATGATAAAGACAGAACATGAAGTTGATAAACAAACATTTATGAGCGAACGGAAATGAAAAAGGATGATAAATAAGCAAGAAAGAAATAGAATGTGACCATGGTCCATAAATTCAGTTAAGATAACTTCTCATTTTGAACTGCTTAATTTCATTTCCATCCCTCAATTTCTTTCCAGCATATAAAAATTTTAACCTTATATTTGGGCGGTCAAAAAAGCACCATTATGTTTAAAAAAAGGAAGCTATAAAATCAGATTAGGGAGATTAGAGAAAGTAAAAAATTTAAGTGCAATCGCTACATGTCCATATACCGTCATTTCATTTCAGAGTATAAGACTGGTTAGCACAAGGTGAAGATTTAATTTAGACTGAATGCTCACATAAATAATGTACAAGCTTTCAATTTATCAACTAACCAAACTACAATGAAGTAGTCAAAAATGCATGATACTACACGGTGTATAAAAGGATTTTTTAAATATTTACTTGGTCCTATCTACAATTGATACAACTGGTATAGGTGGTCAATAGAATATTTTTATAGTAAAGATGAGAGTTTTGAGCATTGTATTGCGTCCCCTTTCACATTCACAACTTTAATAGACAAAATTACCAATAACACAGTGGACGAATAACTTAAGGAATGGCCACTTATGCCACACATTCCCAATTAGCAGAATTGTATCCTTTCGGGATCCCGTTGTTGCAATTTTTTGTTTTTGCATGCCAGTCTACCGCACCAGTGCATTATGCTCCTCATTTTGTAGATTATGTAGCACCTTTTATGGATGAGTTGCACTGATTATTGCTCTTTGGAGTTTACAATCGATATCTAGTCCAAAGGGAAGATAGCCCTCTTGGTCAGATGACGTTATTTGAGGATGGTTTGGACATCATATAATCATTATATAGTTAGGAAGAGGGATCGCCCTCATCAGATTAGAAGTTATGGTTTATCAAGCGGCAGTCGAGTTCTCTTGGCCAGAGAAAAATTATTGAGATCCTATTAGATATACTATATGGAAAACTTCCCAATTTAGATACATGTTTTAGGAAAAGTAATTAGAATTTTATTTTATAGATTTTCTAGTATTTTATTAGTTATTTCCTACTCGAGTTAAATTAGTTTAAACACTATATAATAGGAGTTTATGCATTGTAATAGTTAAGACTTTGATATTGAATAAACTAATATTTTCTCCTAAATTCTCTCTATTCTCTCCCTCTTCTTTTTCTCTTCTCTCTTCTTCTTTCTTTCTCAACCTCATTTGTTCAAATGTGTTCTACTTCCACGTCACATATATCTACTCTAGGCAATTGAAAATCCAGTGTTATAACAAGCATCAAATGCCTATGCATGAGTAGGAGAGGATATATGTAACTTAAACTAATGTCCTTAACAAGCGAAGGAGAAACAGACTTTCACATGCCAAAATAATCAAGTGACTGCCGCATCTGATTTAAGGGAACAGGAATTAGAAAGACAAAAAACTTATGCTTAGAAAAGTGACAACTGGGGAGGAAATATTTTGTCAAGATAGCATTCATGCACATTACTTAGTAAGAAAACGCTCCTGCATTCCTGTCACTTGAAAGAGAGAAAAATAAGCCTTGGAAAAGTCAGAATTTGCAAGGATACAGTTCATCAAGGACATTACTGAGTTAATTGTCCCAATGGTCACTGAACTTAAGTCTACGTCACCAATTGTTCACTGAAATTTAAAATATCAAGTTTTGGCCACTAAACTTATCAAAACATTGAACATTACTCACTACTTTAACATTCGTTCCAATTATTTAACGGAATTAGTGTATGTGGATAACGGAATATCCATATGCCGCCTCATCACACATTTAACTAATAGTTACGTCTTTAATTGCTCACCAAACTTTAAAAAATATATTCAATTGCTTATTAAATTTTGAAAAACATCTTTGATTGCTTACTGAACTTTGAGATGGTCAAATTTTGACCATTAAATTTATAAAACTGACTTCGACCAATTGTTCGTTAAAAAAATGTAGCGCAATGGCACAAGTCACGTAAAAGTAATAAGGTGGAGAACGAGTACAGATTATCGATCCCACAAGAAATGATTACTCAATTACACAACGGTTTAATTTAATTTTAACACTTTTGTAGAATTTTAAACTATTTTAATAATTAAAAAATTCAAATTTATTGTATTTTTGTTGTTAAAATTACATTAATATTTAGATTTTGCAACCGAACACACGATAAATTTAATTAAATGAATTTCATTCACTTTTGGTCCGAGAACTAGATTTTGTTTCGTTACGAAAATCCAAATTTCAATTAAATTTATTGTGTGTTTCGTTGTAAAATCCATTTAATTAAATTTACTATATTTCGTTGCAAAATTCAAACATCAATTTAATTTTAACGAAATATAAAATAAATTTGATTTTTTTCAAATGATGAAAATAGCTTAAAATTTTACAAAACATATTAAAATTATATTAATCTATTGTGTAATTGAGTAATCATTTCTCGTAAAATTGATAATTTGAATTCGTTTGTCCACTTTATTACTTTTTCGCGACCTGTGCCATTGCGCTACATATTTTTTAAGGAACAATAGGTCGAAATCATTTTTATAAGTTGAGTGGCCAAAATTCAACAACCTCAAAGTTCACTGAGCAATCGAATACGTTTTTCAAAATTTAGTGAGCAATCGAAATGTTTTTCAAAATTTAGTGAACATACATTTTTCAAAGTTTGGTGAACAATCAAAGACGTAACAATTTGTTAGTGGCGTGACGGGGCACCACATGTATATTCCATTATCTAAGTGGCTAATTTCGTTAGAGAATTGGAACAGATATTAAGATAGTAAGTAACGTCCAACGTTTAGAGAAATTTAGTGGCCAAAACTCGACATCTTAAATTTTAGTGAGTAATCAGAGACATAGACATAAATTCAGTGACTATTGGGACACTTAACTCAACATTACTTATTAAATCCCTTTTTGACAGCGATTACTTCAAAACTATTCTTTCTCAAGTTCATTTTCAATCTCACGTTCCTACAATAAAATATTTTGCAAGTAAATCCATAATCTTTTCCTACTTTTTAACTTCATTGTTCCAAAACTCATTTTTCCCAGAAAACTCTTTTAATGTTTGTCAACCAGAGGCTTAGAAAATGCTCCTGTTCCTATTTCCATTCTTATAAGCTCGACAAAATACACGATTCTTTAAATTATATAATTTTAAAAGAAAATTGAACTCGATACGATTTCAAGTTACCTTCTCTGTATAGTATTCGAAAGTTTTTTTCTTCTCTCCTGCTTCATAGATGTTGCATTGAGAATATACCTGGTCGCATAGAAGGCCCAAAAAAGTAAGAAAACACAAACTAGGATTTTAAGCTACTGTAGACAAACTGAAATGTGATTTAGTTATATGATTGTTTCTGTGCATGATATAACAATAGATTACCTGTGACTCTACGCTAGCACAAACAGCATATATGCCCCATCCTCTGGTGTAATTATTGTATAAATGAACTTTTCCAAATCTGACACGAGGTTGTCGTTGTCGTGTGCCATCAAAAAAACAGTGATGAATTGTCACTCTAATGCATCTATCACCAATATGAGAGGGGTCAGCTCCAATAAGCATCGTCTTATCATGTCGTGTGAAGTAACATCTGCAAAGAAGAAATCATCAGGATCCTATGATATATAGAAGTAATTTAAACTACAGAGCTAATGATGATTAAATTACCTAGAGATAGTAATATCAGTGCTTTGCCTTGTTATATCAATAAGTCCATCATCATAATCACATAAGCTGCAGCGGTCTATCCATATATGCCTAGAATTTGGTTTAATTTGGATGCCATCAACATCGTGCCCTCTGCCACCTTCAAACTCCAGGTTGCATATAATAATATGTTCACATTCCTTCAGCCTCAAACCTTTACCAGTGATTTTTATGCGATGGCCACGACCATCCACTGTCTTATAAGAAGACAAACTTAAGTAGGACGAAAGATGAATCATGCCAGAGACTTCAAAAACAATCCAAAGGGGTTCTTTTCTACGACACCCATCACGAAGTGATCCTGGACCATCATCTAATAGAAGGAAAGTGTTCCGCATGTCAAACTCAAGTAGGCTATAATCAGAAGTAATTGATAAATGATCCGGAAGAAATCGAAGAATTTTAATCTATTCGAGGGGGAAATGACAGATATTATGTTTCACCACAAAAAATTCTTTGAAAGACGATTAATCATCTGCTTCTCACGTTCCGCAAATAGCAGGGACATTAAGGAATATCCATAAAAAGGCTTAGTGTTTTTTGTGATCCGTAGCTATCAAAACTTCTTCAATGCAGTCATTGATTCTCCCGAGAGTTCACAATTGCCGCAACCAAACATATTAATGCCTTAAACCCACTAATTTAGCATATGTTTTGCTAATGTTTATAAACACTCAAGTCACTTTTTTACACACATTTCGAGGGATCCACAAGTAGAATTCACTTATCCATCCACTCATTTTTATCTATTTATAATTTAAATTGTTGATAAACACTTCTCAAATATGCTTTTACATCCCTTCTTGTCACAATATCAAGGGGATTAAAAATGAAGCTACATCATGCACGCTTCCTTTCTTCTTGTGTGACGTACATAAGGCAATGCCACCACTTTGCTCTAAACCTATAGCTCACTGCGCAAATGCGATCCACTCTGTATCACCCGGAATCAAGCTCGAGAATCCACCCCAAGCCCACACCTTTGACCCACTTCTGTTTCAAGCATGTTCGTGTATTATTGTGTAGCTAAGCATGCTTTTGGGTACAATGACTTTTTGAGCAATCTCATTCAAAAGCTGACAACAAATTTATTTATTTAAATTTAGCCTTCACCGTGCCCTTGTTAGGCAGACGAATTCAGTTTTTTATCAAACATCTTGACACATGGACAAGTTTTGACACCATGCCATGTCAAACCACTCCACATAAAAGCTTAAATTTTCTATTGAGAAGGGAGCATTTTTATTTGGTGTAAACAGCCCCTTAAGAAAACAAATCAAAAAATGCGTTCTACCCGTTAATGCCAACTTTGTATAAAATCAAAATTTCTATCACGTAAAAGCAACCATTTTACAAATAATTTACTATTACAAACGTAATTATCAATCCTACATGAAAATTGCAACTATTTTTTCGGAATCGAAAATCTAAAACACAACTTTTAACAGCAGAAGAAATAATATAGTACTGAGAATATAAGGAAATTACCGGCCAAGTTGGTGACGTGATAAACCGGTCCATGAAGACCGCCGACGGAGAATCGGCCGAAACCCTCAGCCTGACCGGCTAATGCTCTGAGATGTGAATCAACGTCAGAGTACGGCAATGACGCCATGGACTTTTTTTCTTTGGGGTCTAAGAAATCGTTACCCCGTTGGAGTTAAGCTCGCGCGTTGAAATGGTAAAAAGCAGTAAAGTTAGCCCTTGTTTGATACCAGTTCTTTATAACAAAAAAAAAGGAATTATTCTACGGTGTTTTAACATCATTTCAACTCTCACATTTTTCAATAAAGTAATATTATACGTAAATTCAAAATTTTTTCTCATTTTTTAATTCCACATTTCCCATAATACACTATTCAAAAATTCATTTTTCCGCTCAAATAGGGCTCAAACGAGGGCTTAATTGTCCCGGTGGTCATTGAACTTATGTCTGTATCATATATTACTCACTAAAATTTAATATATCAAATTTTGATTACTAAATTTATTAAAATATTGGACGTTATTCGCTACCGTAACATCCGTTCCAATTCTTTAACAAAATTAGTGATGTGGATAATAGAATATACATATGGTATTACATCACGTTGCTAACAAATTGTTACGTCTTCGATTGCTCACAAAACTTTGAAAAATGTGTTCGATTGCTTACTAAATTTTGAAAAATGTCTTCGATAGCTCATTAAACTTAGAATTCGTCAAATTTTGATCACTTAACTTATAAAAATGACTTCGACCTATTGTTCGTTAAAAAATATATAGCGCAATGACACAGGTTGAAATTGCACTACATATTTTTTAATAAACAATAGGTTGAAATCATTTTTATAAGTTTAGTGACAAAAATCTACCATTTCAAAGTTCAATGAGCAATCGAAAACATTTTTCAAAATTTAGTGAGAAATCGAAGACATTTTTTGAAGTTTGATGAACAATCAAAGACATAACAATTTGTTAACGACATGATGAAGCGCCGCATGTATATTTCGTCCGTTAAAGAATTGGAACGGATGTTAAGATACTGAGTAACGTCCAACATTTTGATAAATTTAGTGGCTAAAATTTGATATTTTAAATTTTAGTGAACAATTGAAGACATAGATATCGGTTCAATGACCATTGGGATAATTAGCTCAAAACAATAACTACTAACTACAGGCCGTTAAAATGAAGAGATTTTGACGGAGAAATTAACTCTTCATGCTGCATAGGAGAACTACATTGTTGTTGTTGTGACAGGAAGTTGATCCTTAATCTTTAAAAATGAGCAAAATAATCTCCAACATTTAAATATATTGAATAACTAAAAATCCAAATTAGGTATGAAAAAAATATATTCCTATCCCATTCCAATTATTATTATTATTATTATTATTATTATTATTATTATTTACAGTTGAAATTACTTCAAAAAGATAAAAATTATTAAAAACTAAAATAAATAAGTAAACATGTATTCTTTTAATCCCTACTCCACCCCTACCCCGACTCCCAAAAAATCCTTGACAAGGCATTCCTCTCCGTCTCATTATCATCAACAATCCAACTTCATATGTAATCATCACGTCACCCTTACATTTTCCCCCTTTTGAATATATTTAGAAAAAAAAAAATCTTAAAATTTCTTTATAGATTATTGAAAATTAAACTAGTCATTTATTACTATTTAATTTAATACATTTTATGAACTAAAATCTTGTCACGTCTTCTTTCTTGTAACTATAATTTACTCAAGTGTGTCCATACTTGTTCAGGAAGGGATTAAGCCTAACATCCAACAAAAGTAATGTAGGGCTTGCTCTGTTTACGTATGGGAATAAAGTAAAAAAGGCATAAAGAATAAGTACAGCTCAAGCTGTCTTATCCCTAATTTGATTATTATAAACACCTCAGGTATATAATTTTTCAACCTTTCAGTTCAAGATTAATGGTGGGTGCATACTAACATGATATGCACCTTTAGAAATGTCAAATCTTCCTTGTTGCCATATGGTCCAAAAGGCCAAAGTATCGTCTACGTAGCTTCTAACATTCTAACTAAAATCACAGAAAGATGAAATTGTCTCGAGTGCTTCTATATAGGACTCGTTGAAGGAGATTGATAAAGATCGTGCATTAAATGGTGAACTCATAAGTTAAACCCAACCCAACATAATTGATTTGATTGAAAATCAATCCAATCCAACCCAACCCAACCCAACCCAACCCAAACCGATAAAGTTTGGGTTGGGTTGGTCCATTTGGGTTTCGGCCCACTTAAAGTTGGATCTATTTTATTTGTTAAATTTGAATAATTTTTTAGAGTTGGAAATTAATTGAGAACCTCCGTTTTTTAAACACGTACAAAGAATTCTTTATAAAAATAATGTATAAATAAGTAAAATTTATGAAAATTTTTATTTTTTTTACATTTTTTTGGAATTAATTTATTTCATCATCATGTCTTTAATTTTTACTTTATCTTCAAATAATATTGTATTTGTACATAGTGTTCATGTGAATCGGTCTACGTGAAGAAAATGAACGTTTATAAATTACGCACTTATTTGATCCTCATTCTTTGGAAAAAAAAAAAGAATTCTTAAACAATGTTATGATATAATTTCAATCACACGTTCTTAAATAAAATAATATTACACAAAAGTCCAAAACTTTTTCTTATTTTTTAACCACACATTTATCATTAATACACTATTCAACAATTTATTTTCCCACTAAAAATGGGGTTCAAACAAGGGCTTTATGTCATTCTCTTAGTTTTACTATTGTGTCTATTTAAATTATTTTTCCATTTTAGATATTAATTTTTAATTTGTTAAATTGGGTTGGATTTCAATTCATAACCCAATGTATAGTTGAAAATCTCTCTAAATGCTAATTTTGATTTTATCATTTATTCGAAATCCCATTATCTTGATTGATTTTCTAGAACCGCTAAAAGTTGCTCTCTAGATGCTCCACTACCTCCTAAAAAAACTTGCCCCTATTTGGTACCAATTAAAATACAATTTTTAATTTAAATTAAAATCAACAATTAATTTTAATTCATATTTTATGGATCTTACAGCTTTTTAACCATACATTTCATCAACTTTTATCAAAATTTATTAAAATCTAATTTTAATTCATACCAAATATAGCCTTATCTATAGAAAATTAGGATTATAGGACAAAAACCGTTGCATAATATTCAATTATATTTTGAAAGAAATGATAACATATGAGTCTTCCAATTGAACAATAAATAAATATATTATATATCAACTTGAACTAAAATATATTTATCATATTCATAAAAATGTTCAGAAGTTTTGTTTTTGGTAGTAAAGTGGTAAAAAAGGAGTCAATAATATACATTCTTTAGTTAGCTGAACATCGACGCTTTCCTAACGGTGGGCCTCTTTCTTTTGTCGTTTTAGAACCTTTTTTTCCATTCCTCGTCATCAATCAACGCCTTCCTCGCAACTTCACATGCCACCATACAGCAGACCAACAGATACCAAAAGAGTTCCACATATCTCAGACTCTCAAACCCCTTTTTGATTCTCGATCATGTCTTCATCACTTGACGGTGGTACTTTCTCTCTCAATTTCTCCTTTTCTACTGTGTTTGTATTTGTTTCTAAATTGGGATCTTGATTTTGTAAGCAGCTTCGAATTATCCAAGCCTTCGTGTGTTGTTGTGTGAGATTTTACCCTTTAACTATCCCGCAAAGTGGTGACTTGTTTGAGAATATCAACTATTGGCTTGGTGCTGTGAGGTCGATATTAATAAGAGGACTAGTCCAATATCTTGTATATTGATTTTTTATATAAATCGAAAAAAATTATGAATACTAACAAACGAATATTTGCTTGAGAAATGAAATGAATCATTGCTAAAGGAGCAGTTTTTTTTTTTTTTTTTCACTTATCGTTGATTTAGCTGTTCTGAATGAATATTAGGACATAGTTATTGATTAAGCAAGTGAATATGGTGGAACTTTGAGAAGCGGAGCATATTATTGTTTTGATATAAACCTGCGCTAGAATTATAATTCTTTTGCATATGGAAATACATAAGTTTGAGGATCCTTTGGGACTTTGATTTATGGTTTTAATACAGAAGATAGCCAGCTGTTGAGAAAATCATTACCCAAAAAACGCATAGAAGAAGAGGAATTAACAGTTTCCTTGCCATTTTTTTGCTCTTGAATTGCCTGTCTTATGTGACGAGTATTTGACTAATCATGCTCACATAATTATTTTTGGGGGAATCTAGTACATAAGAAGATAAATAATAACATCCTAGGATATTTCCAAGAAGTTTTGAATATGTGTAATGTATTGTGGTTTCATATGATATGTTTGTCATTGATTTAACGAATAACTGAATTCATAGTGGGCAATGGAGACTTGGAGAAAGGGTTGGTTACACGAACACCAAGCCAAAACCCGCTGGCCGAGACACCAACATCGCAATCACCATCCTCGGCCAATGCACCAGCTCTGGTTCTGTCGAACTCAGGGAAGCGAATTGATCAAGCTGGAAAAAAGAAATACGTAAAAAAGGTGACTGGCCGGCACAATGACACAGAACTTCATTTGGCTGCTCAAAAGGGTGATCTTGCAGCAGTGAAGCAGATACTCAATGATATTGACTCTCAAATGGTGGGTACACTAAGCGGAGAGGATTTTGATCAGGAGGTCGCAGAGATCAGGGCATCAGTTGTGAATGAGATAAATGAGTTAGGAGAGACAGCATTATATGCTGCAGCAGAAAGAGGGCATATCGATGTGGTAAAAGAGCTATTGAAGTATGCAAATAAGGAAACACTTACAAAGAAGAATCGTTGTATGTTTGATCCTTTGCATATAGCTGCAAGTCAAGGACACCAAGGTGATTATCTGAGCCCAGTTGATTACTTTTTCAAGTTTTTTTTTTTTCTTATTCTAGAGAATTTCAGATTGAGCTGTGAATTTTTGTCTATGCTAGAAGCTTGACTCAAAACAGTGCATATATTATATTTGGAGAGATGGAACACTGGATTTAGGTTGGTTGTATAGTGTGTTAAATTACAGTGTAATGAGCTTTTGTTTTGACTTATAAATTCCTTTGTGTTAGTAAAATAAGATAATCCACTATCTATCTTCAGTCCCTTGATGCATAGGATTTTGAGGAAACATATCCAATTTAATTGCACTCATTATTCGGGGGTGTGAGGCCGATGAAAAATATTCTTAAGGACAAACCAAGACTTTTTACAATTACTTGTAAGTTTAGTCACTTGTATGTTATAACTTAGGGTCATCGGAATATGCTTTACTTTAAGGTTAAACAGGAGATATTATGCACACATGTATTTTGCACTAGCATTCCCTTGGGTGGATTAAATTATCAAGATTGTAATTTTCAGATTTTAGCAGTTGCATCTCTACTGAAAAAAGGAATTAAATCACACTTCAAATGCTTGACAAAGTTTTCACATAACATGAAATAGACTCCATCTCTGAAATGTGTGTGTGTGTGTGTGTGATAATAGCAGGTAAATTTTTTCTAGCTGAAACTGACATTGTACCCTTTTCATTGCAGCTATTGTCAAAGTATTGTTAGATCATGACCCTGGACTGATTAAAACGATTGGTCCTTCCAATGCAACCCCTCTTGTAACTGCTGCTTCTAAAGGACATATAGCTGTAGTTAATGAATTGTTTGCAAAGGATTGTAGCTTGCTAGAAGTTTCTAGATCGAATGGAAAAAATGCATTACACTTAGCTGCCAGGCAAGGGCATGTAGACGTCGTCAAGGCATTGCTTGACAAAGATCCTCAATTAGCTAGAAGGACAGACAAGAAAGGACAGACTGCATTGCATATGGCTGTGAAAGGAGTTAACTCTGAGGTTGTTAGATTGCTCCTCGAGGCTGATGCAGCTATTGTGATGTTGCCTGATAAATTTGGAAACACGGCATTACATGTAGCCACGAGAAAGAAGCGAGCAGAGGTGTGTTACTGCTGCTTTAGTTTCTATAATCATGTTGGCCTTTAACTTAATGTGTGGGAAGTTTACCTGAAACCAAATAGGATTTTCTTTTGCCGTTGATAACTGCAAAGTTACTTGATCACTATCATTAAGCATGTAGTCCCACTCTCCAAAGATGTTTGGGTCAGCGTGTTCATTACCATATTTGAAATTCACAACAGACTTCTGATTATTTGTTCAACTTGTGAATGCTATTACTGTCCAGTAAAAGCATGCAATAATTTGCTTTCAGAGGCCATTGAAAGACCAGAATTTCTGCGGTTTTTGTTTTCCTGCTTCTAAAATAATAAGAAAAACAGTGTAAAAGCATCGATGAAAACTAGTATTTTTGTGTTTTTTACTCTCCAAACTAACTATAAAATTTTATTCCCAGGGCTCTGCTGTTTATCACACTCTACTTTCCATATGTACAAAGTCAATGCATTAATAAGAACACATTTGTGTACTTAATTTATCCTCTCATTTTTATCACATGTATGAAACAACCTTGTAGGCTATAGCAAGTTGTTTTATATTATTATTTGGCTTAGTGAATCATTTTCACGTGTTCACCGAAAATCTTTTACATAAAACTTATCAATTTTTATAAAGACCACGACAATTTCCTAAACTTAGGTGTGAAATTAATATTCAATGTTGTTACTATGCATCTCTAGATTGTGCTTTAGCTCTGGTAGAATATACATGATTATTGTTTAATGCTCTCAATACTGCTTTCTCTCATCTTCCACCCACCCCCCTCCCTCTTTTCTCCAGACATGTATGTCTTCTTAAATGCTATGAAATACATCTTAAAGGTCACAAGTTTAAAATTCCCTTCTACAATAGTAGAGAAGTTTAATTATAAGAATTTCCTATGGAAAAATTAATAATTAATTTGCATAAATTAATTAGATTTTGGCATTAGTTAAACTTTAGATACGCACTGAATATACATGTTCACGAATTAGAAAGAAATTTCAACTTGATGCTTTAGAATAAATTTTACATGTAAAAACCTGCCAAATCAATTTTTATATGAAGCCAGTTCTATGTTGGAAGCTATGGAAATGATTAATTTGAATTATTTATTATCAGTTAAAAATCAGTAAGCCTACAAGGGGACAGGATCCTAGTATAGCTTATTATATTGTGAAGAGTAATCTCTTTATTGATGCATGGGAAATCTCTTTCTAAACTGCAATTGGTGCAGACATGGTTGTTTGATAATAATAAAATTTTAAAACTTGCCGTGTGGTATGTGATCTGAGGGTTTTTATACTTACAATTTGTTTATTTTAGTTGCTAATTTATATAAATTTAGTGCATTTGATTTACATAGTCCAACTATTTCACATTATATAATGTGAATCCTGCTAAGAGAAAATTCAGTGAAGATCCAAACTAGAACTTGATTATATATACTTGAATTTGAATTGATTCAAGATAAATCTATAGAAAATTTGATCCTATTAAATGCCAAATTGATTGATGGAGTAGCTTTCATAAAATATAATCTTCCTCATCTTGACTCATGGCATCTTAATATTAAATAATTTTACTTACATTGGCTTCTGTTTATCCAACTATTTGCTTCATTTATCTGAAAGTGAAACAATATGCTCAATTGGTTTCTTATTTATGGATGCTCTACCTAGCAACCTACCTACTATTTTATCATTTATTTCTCCTCCTGCAGCAACTTTGAAACACGAGTGTAACAAAATGCTGTTTGAATATTTCCTCGTGCAGATAGTTAATGAGTTATTACGTCTCCCTGATACCCATGTCAATGCACTGACCAGAGATCACAAAACGGCTCTTGACATTGCTGAAGATCTTCCCCTCTCTGAAGAATCTTCGGACATAAAGGAATGCCTTTGTCATTATGGTGCTGTTAGAGCTAATGAGTTGAACCAACCGAGGGATGAGTTACGGAAAACTGTAACTCAAATCAAGAAAGATGTCCATTTCCAGCTCGAGCAAACTAAGAGAACTAACAAAAATGTCCACGGAATTGCTAAAGAACTGCGGAAACTCCATCGCGAAGGGATTAACAATGCCACCAACTCAGTGACTGTCGTGGCCGTGCTCTTTGCTACAGTTGCATTTGCGGCAATTTTTACAGTGCCCGGTGGGGATAAAGATGACGGGACTGCTGTGGTTGTGCATAGTGCTTCTTTTAAAATCTTCTTCATCTTCAATGCCATTGCACTTTTTACTTCTCTAGCTGTTGTCGTAGTTCAAATTACATTGGTTAGAGGCGAGACGAAGGCTGAAAGACGTGTGGTAGAAGTTATTAACAAACTAATGTGGTTGGCTTCAGTTTGTACTTCACTGGCATTCATGGCGTCGTCTTATATAGTGGTTGGGCGCAAATACGAATGGGCTGCAATGTTGGTTACAGTTGTCGGAGGAGTGATAATGGGCGCAGTTCTTGGAACCATGACATACTATGTGGTGAAGTCGAAGAGGACACGATTTATAAGAAAGAGGGAAAGGCATGCTCGGAGCGGCTCCAACTCATGGCTTCACTCTGAATTTTCAAACTCAGATATTGACCGCGTTTTTGCCCTTTAATGGAAGACAACGTGAACGAAGGGAGGAGATATGGGATGATTTACGACATAGTATCAAAGACATAAAAGGTAATTTGCTTAGTGAGTTTATTATCGTAAATAACGATATTGTAAGAACTTACCCAGCTCTTTGAACTGGAAAAACCGTGCACTATCTTGGAATCGGTCCAGTATCGCTTAAAAACCATACATTATAAACTGGGATCAGCCACTTGAACCGGCCATGGCTTGATCCGGTTGTATATTTCTTTAAAAATGATCTTTTTTGTTAAGGAGCGGTTAAGGCTTGACATATATGATAGTATGATACTATGCTGGTATGCAGAGGCGGACTCAACCGTTTTGGATTGTGGAGTCAAAAGTTTAACACATCGTATCTTTTGCTATGATCAATCATTTCGCACACCAATAAGAAGCGCAAAACTAGGTCATGAATATTTAGAAATGATATTAAGAATGCAATATCTCGTTTTTCATTTGGTATGTATTAAAGTGAGTTGAAAACGAGTTAAAACAACCATTTTTTGGAAAAAAAAAAAAGAAAGAAAGAAAAAGAAAAGAAAAAACCCAAAATTTTTTGGGGTCATCTGACCCCATGTGGGTCTGCCCCTGCTGTTATGAATGATTTTCGAAGAATGTTGAGTTATAATCTAAAAACTTGGAAGTTTAGATGAAGATGAATTAATATATTTTATATGATTGTAGTAGCAGATGCCATTACCATTTCTGAATGTGCAAACTAAAATCAATTAGAGTAATTCATAAATTCAATATATAGTTGTAATGGTTAGTTAATATAGTGCTTCAAGCGCTCTATATCAAGTTCTGGATATTCATAGTGACTCTCTAAAAACCCGAGTCATTATATTAATTACCCGGTGTGTCTATCTATATATCTGACGAGCTTTTTTGCTTATGAAGTAGACTATTCCTAGTCAAATTATATTAAAAATTTAAATATTATTCTCAATAAATTTGGTTTCATGTATTAAATTATATAAAAAAAAACTTTTGGGAGGCATTCACAGAATTCTGCGAAGAGACACACGTGTGGGTCCCATGTGTGATTAAAAAAAGAGTTATTTTACACATACAGACATTTAAGTGTATAGATATTGTACAGAATGCTCACATCAGATTTTTTGACAATAAAATATTCATGTGGGACTCATTCACTTTGTGAGATCTGTACACTTAAAATTCTGTACACTTAGAATTTTTGTAAAAAAAAAAAAAGCCAAATTTATCACCTACACAACCCGCTGTGAGTTGTATTGGAAAAAATCTGTGAACTAGAATTTCTGTAAGTGCAGTATGGTCCTTTAATATCTGCAGTTTCTTTTTGTAGACAAATGTGGAAGTTGGGTGGGGAAGGAATTTCTTGTTATATGGTTATCAGTACCCTATAGTGCTGAACATCATCAAATGATCTTTTTAGAGGCTTCCATTTTATCATCAATTTTGTCAAATATCTGGCTGACAGATTTACATAGTTTATGGTTGGGTATATTCCACTTGGGACAAAACGAATCCATTTGAAAGCTGTCCTCTCTGAGTCTGCTTCATCTGCTCTATTTTTACCTCACTAGATAGAGTTTTATAATAGCTCCATGATTACTTTCGAAATTCTTTGTGGTATAAATAAAGCAGGGACGCGTTTCATGATAAACTAAGAATATTTGAAAATTTGATTATAGAATTGGAGGAAGTAATAGAAAAGAAGTTCTTGCTTGCCTTTAAATTTATTGGAAACAAAGTTAAAGTAGATTACAACTTTAGTTTAATCCATTTGAGCTCATTTGTCACTTATTTTAGAGTACATTAACAAAATTTTTGAACAAAAACTGTTAGCATGGACAATATGTACTAATTAATGGAAGGTTTAGCGAACCTAAATAAATTATGTTCCATTTATAAAAAACTGTTGTGTGAATATAATTACCATTTTTCTTATATCCCTTGTGAGGGCCTTTTATGTGATACAATTGACTTGTTGCAATGAGTTGGTCGTCGATCGTGTTGCTTAGCTCCTAGAAAATGGAATATGGGGCCATGTACTCAATTTTTGGGCGCGAGTAAGGTGTCGGTAATTGGTTTAGTTGAATTGATTCCTATATTTCTAGCAGTCAGTTCAGGTTGATCTTCATAATAAATGTTGATAGGATGTCAAAATATATATATATAATAATGCTGTATAAATATAATTTTGCTCTAGATTTAACATTAGAGTTATTACAAAAACGAGACATATTTTATATCTACAAACTTTAAGTTAAAATTGAAATTTACTACACAAACATGGTACTTCTAATATTTCTACACATTTGGCTGAATGGGCGCAAAGTAAACTCGGTGCATATTTAGAACACAATATTCAACATGACTCGATCATTTCTTCTTTAATACTATCTTGTAGCATTCAATCCAAACATACTATCACCGTCTTCGGCAACCCTTGCAAAGCTCTGGTCTTTCTTGATCATCAAAAATCACTCTTGAAGCGGACATTGAAAGAAACCCATGATCACTAACAGTCTTTCTTGAACAAATTTCTTGCTGGTGAGACCTTTTACAATGTGCAATGGCAGCCTGAATTGAGTTCTCAAACTCTGATTTTCCACTTATACTTCTCTTCAAAAACTTCATCTCCTGAAATCCATTAGAATCCGTTGAACTCGAACTCAAACCTGAATTCGAAGAATTAGATGATGAAGAGAAAGCTGAAGATTTAACCTTAGATGTTCTCTTAATGGCTCCTGAAAATGATTTTCTGTGACATTTTGTGTGAATTTGCCCAGATGGGATATTTTTAGAGGTCTTGGAATCTTGCAATGCACATTTTTTGGCCTTTGAAATTGATCCTTCATAAACTATATTTCTTGAGGACTCAACTGAGCAACTAGATTTATTGAACAAAGATTTGAGATAAGCCCGGGAAGCTTTGAGTTTGGATCCAAGTGTGGATTGCTTAAAAAGTTTTAGAGGTTTTGTCCAAGATTTGTTCGTGTTTGAATTGGCCAGTTTTTCCTCGAAAACCTGTAACACAATCAGATAATGATATATTATAACACACAGCAAAAAGTAAATAATTAGGCTGAGATAAGGGTATTTCGCTCTCTATAAGGAAAATCAAAACCTTTGCGGTATCATGATTTAGCTGAAACATGTCTAGCTATAACCAATCTACGACTCAAAGATCCAAACCCTTCATTTGCCAATAATATTCTCGTAAGGAGTGAAAGAATATATTATCAAAGTAATACCAAAGAGATGCGAGCTATTTATAGGCGTTTTATATCCGTAGAATTTTATAATTTGTGTATATTAAATTTTTATGTTCTTCACTAACAAGCCATATTCAAGAAGAATTCTACCATTATACAAGTAATAATGATGTATAGTCTCTAGTGTTAAAGGGTAAAACCCCACATGATTAAAGATGAATACAATGAGCAATATATAAGGGCTTGGGCTAGAATATCTCACATAAGTACTCGATTGATCAGTCGAGTATTCAAGAAAATATTCGTCGGGATTCAGTTCTCTGCTAACTTGGCAAGAATCAGCGGGAGAAATATGGCACGACTCAAACGGAGTATTGGATGCAGGAGTGAATATTGGAGTGCTGAATAAGGATTCTTGTAATGGTTCAAAAGTGGTGGAGGAATAACTATTATGTAGGATTTTCTCCACCTTTTGGAGGCAGGGTGGGAGGTTGAGGGGGAGGAGTTTTCCTCTGTAAAAGAGCTCATCCGCCGGAGAAGTGGTGGTGTCTCGGCCGGAGGAGCACGAAAAACTTTGAAACTCAAATTCTTTATGGTGTGAAGGTGAAAAAATGGTGGTTAATGAACCTACTTCCATGTCAATGCAGCTTTCATTTGCATCCATATTCTCTCAAGAGAATATATACAGACAGAAACACGTAGTGGAATGTGAGGTTTGGGGAAGAAATGGAGGGGAAGAGCATCATTTTAAAAACGCAGTGGATGAGAAATGTGAAAACGGAACATCAGGAAATTTGTCGTTACCTTGCCTCCACTCATCCATGTAGGACATGTTACCTGCCAAAATTTTTGTTCACTTCTGTTTCTTAATAATATTTAATGTCATCGGGTTCACTTATCAAATAGAGAAAATCCATTTGTATAAAAATGAATTTCACACAAATAATATAGAACTCTCACATGAGCTCCATATGAATAAAATAGCACACGCAAAAAAAAAAAAAAAAAAAAAGAACCTTCCTGCTGTATCTTATCTGGAGGGGTTCTGTGCCCCCTCCTGTACATATAGCCTGATTGTATCAAATATTGCCTCCCACAACACTAATACTCAATTTTGTTAAATCGACTAGCTCATCAAGAATCCACACCTCTTATTAATGTGTGCATGTGTATATGTTCAACTTCAATGGAAAAAGAAAAAGTAAGTACCTAAAAATGCATCTTCACATACCAAAAATTACGTGGACATCCGTTTCATTTGGAGTTGACGAAGACACAATGCCATTCAAGCTTTTTTAATATTTTTTAAGGAGGTCTGGATAAAATTTCTAAGCTAGAACCTTCTAGTTTTCGTATGATCTTATTGGATGGTGAAACAGAACAAAGTTTACATGTGCTATACATTGAGCGATTCCCTAATTAATTAATGGTTTCGAATAATCGAAAGAAGTTTTTTTTCTAACCCTATTTTGATAGGTTCTATTTGATAAATTCAATCCAACATAATCCTATTTTGCGACAACAAAACTCAAAAAAGAAATAAAATAAACAAAATTTAATTGTGCCTAACCAATTCGATGTGAAAAACATAAACCAATCTAGAAATAAGTTTCATTATCCGCTAAAATTTATTCTTAAAAAACTGGAATGACAATCAATAGGCCAATTTAAATTATTTAATTACAAGTGAATCAACTGATGATGAGTTGACTGAGTTTCGCTTTGAGCTAAATATTTCATCATTTTTCAATTTCAATCATCATTTTTTATTGGTAAACTCAAAGGGCAATGCAATTTCAACCAGGTTTTCAGGTTGATATTATAAATTTTATTACTCAAATAATAATAAATTATTCTATGTTAGTTACTTTTAAGTAAATAAAATCTTACTTTTCTCAACCTTGGAAGTGAAGGAATCAAACCCATTCTCTCCTAATCATATATTAATTTATATCACCTAATTAATAGAAAGATTAAAAGAATTTTATGCCTAGAGTTGGGCAAATCTCCCGAACCGAACCGATCGAACCAAACTCGAATCAAACCGAATTGAACCCGATGGTTATTTTCAAATTAAATACCCGAATGGGTATCTGAATTAAGAACCGACGGGTACGGTTCGGTTCTTGGTTCTAGACGAAGAACCAAATCTTTCTAATTTTTTTTTATATTGAATAAATCAAATTATTTTAATTTTAATTTTTTTTAAACAAATTAACAATTATTTTGGTCCAATAATTTGTTTCATTTCTAATTTTTTAATTTTTGGCTCAATTACCCATTTTATTATTTCATTTTTTAGCCCAACAAAGATCCAACCCACTAAATAACCCTAAATACATACACTAAGATGCATAAGTGCATAACGCTGTCTCGATTCTCACATTCACTCTCGCAGCCTCGCTGACATTCCAAAACCTATACAATCGTCGGCCAATACTGTGACCTTCGCCGATTGAAACTTTTATCGTAGCAATCATTTGAACAAAGCAGTCTACTAATCTCTGACATTCCAAAATCATTGAATGTAAGTTGTATTTATATGATGCTGTTATAAATACTAAAAAAATTAATTATAGTACGGAACCGAACTGAATCGAACGAAACTGAACCATAACGGTTCCATAATTATATTTGGACTCGACGATTTCATTTACTAGATACCCGAAAATTTTGGTATGATTCGATTCTTTTTAGAACCGAACCGAGCCGATCCCACCTCTATTTATGCCTCTTGTTTCCTTTAAGGGGCATTCATACCTGACTGTATTTTAATTTGAAACCACGACACTTGTCTTTTTTACTTTTAGGGATTATTAAATATTGCAAAATAAATATATAAAACTATGTATTTTATAATAACTAAAAGGTTAAAACACTTGAATAATATTATATAACTACTTCGGAGTTTGAGAACCCAACTTTATTATTTATTACTAAGTAAAGTTCAGCTCTTTTACTGGATTCCTGGATTTTTATTTTTATTTTCCATTTTTCACTTCAATTTTTTTGTCAATTCTTGTGCACTTTTGTCAAAGTTCGTCAAAAGCTTTAGCTTAAAATATTGTTGATCTTTTGTATTTACGGAACATGAAAATTAAATTATTAATCATAATTATCTAATTTCAGAAGAAGTACTTGAAGAATTAATGATGTGAATCCAGGGATTGAAAAAAATGAAGAATAACGTTTTCTTTGTCCCTTTGAACTCTACAACTTTCCTACATTTGAATCGACTTTCTTGTTTCTTTTGCTAAATATTAAAGGAAAAAAACATTACTTACATTCTTCATAGTCATTCTCATATTCAGATAAAGAGATAGAACATTCTTCAAAGACATCTCAAATTCAAATAAAGAGATAAAAATGTGGTAAGTTGACAATAAATGCAAACTTGTAAAAAAAATTTAACTTTTACCCGAGTACACTACCAGCTAGTGATGCGTTGCATATTAACATGACGTATAATAGTTGCTCGAGTCTTGTAGTTTTATATCTTTCAGTTCATCCAACAATAAATTGAATGAAGTTGTGAAAAGCCCATAAATCTTGTCTTACTCCAAAATGATTTTACCAATCCCAATCCCTAAGTCAAGCTCGTTCTCAAACCACAATATTTGTCTTTTGACTGTTGGAAAAATTGGTTGATTTGTGTGTAGATAAATTTATCAATTAACATAATCAATTAAATGACATAAACATAATTCTATGATAATATAAAATAAGAAGAGAGTTAGAAAAGCAAGCATTGGGAATCACGTCAAAAAAGCTGTCCTAAAATCGTGTTGCCTCCCATTCATGTGAGTTTTTTCGACACTACTCGGCTTCAAAATAAAATCCATGTGGTTCTCCTTCTATGGACACGACCATAGGGAAATAAGTGAATAAGCATCTCATCAAGTTGCCAAAAGTGTATGAACATATAATGTATATTCAAGTGGTTAAAGAAATATAGTAAGAGCTGTACATATTATTTATCTTTCAAGTTGTGATTCTTATATTATTTTCAATGAGATCTAACCACCTTTTATCAGTGAAAAATTAGTCTCCACAATTAAGTCATTAAAATAGAGGTTATAACATGAATTATTATGTTTTAATTGTGTTAAAAGTGATTATTTAATAAATAAAAACAGAAAATTAAATAGGTTAAAAGTTGAAAGGTTAAAACTTAATTTTAAGTTACAACAATCCCCCACAAGTTTTAAACTTTCAAAATAATTAAAAATGTATAATAGTGGCAACATAATATTGTGCAATAGGTGTAGGTGTCTTTTGAACTTGAACTCTACTTAGTGATAACAATTTTCATTTGAGGGAGCCATAATGGGCTAAACTTTAAATTAGGTCCCTTTGGTGAAACTTCAACTGTTCCACACATAGTATCAATTTAGGCTCAGTTCATAGCGAGTAGCGCTGTTAATGGTCATGCGCTTTAATCTTGATTCTAGTAAGAGTCTCTAGGGAATAACATAATCTCATAGCCATGGCCTCATGTCAACTCTTACATAGGTGAGTCCTCCAAGGATGTATGTGACCCACACCTCGCGATAATTCTCGCCTCGGTACTCATTCATGATTAAATACTTCCTAACATCACATTATTATTAGAACTATCATTATAGGGATGAGTACAAATGATATAGTGCTATTACGAGACATGCAGTATGAGTTGTTTCTACCACATTGAACCTTCTTCATGGGATCTCCAATCACAATGGTTGGGTTATTTCTGGAGATGACTCCCTTATGGGCTTAAACTCATCTCCCTCAATGATTTATGTATGTCCATTTCGGACTACATATATTCACGTCCCTCTTGGACAATAAATTAGTACCGTTAATTTGCAAAGCTTTTCTTCTTCATTTGCCCATCTGCATATCTGCAAAATCTTCTAAAACATTTCAAAATATCAAAGTCACGTTAAGTATAATAAGATAAACAATGAAATTTAAAATTGATTTCTAGCCACATGTTTGAACATGTGCATCCGTTTAACTCTTGCATTTCACATGCAATCTTAAATTTCATTTTAAACACTTTGCCCAAAATATCAATTTTACAACTAAGTATGTAAGCTGCATTTATTTAAAAAAATTTAACACCCCCACATTCCAAAGATATCAAAGATATCCAACTTGAATAGAGTGAGTATGCGATCTTACAATTTATTTATTTTGAGATGATCCAACATTGTGTGGAGATGGTTAATGCACATGTTTTTCCACACTTTCATGATTTTCATCCACCAATGCCACAAATTCTTATTAAACACATTAGCAAAATATTATTTTCATAACAATAAATTATAACTAAAAAATTGATTATATTTAAAATACCTACTGAAGTATGATTACCACTAATTATGAATGAGATTAAAACAATACCCCCCAAATTAAATTCACATTATCATAACATTTTGCCTCATAGATTTAAGACATTTGTACTATGTCTTGGAGGAAAAGAAACATTTAGATCATTAAAATATAGGTTACAATATAAATTATGCGTTTTTTTATGTATTAAAAGATAATTAAAATAGAAAACTGAAAATTAAAATTGGTTTATGTTACAATATTTAGGACAATAATTCATTTATGATTTTCAATAAGTTTCCTTCTTCCTTCAAAATTTTTATAATAATCACATACTAAAGAGAATGACTAACATCATAGGCATCATCAAGTGTTTCTTTTCCAAAATAAAGTAAAAGCTAAAAGTCCACACCTCATGCCTTAGGGCAATAAAGTGGAATATGGACAGTATTACCAATTTTGGAAATGGAAAAAGGCTGGAGACTATGGTGAGATAAAATCTCATCATTTTTAGCTCCCAAACTGTTGGATTGGTTAAGTTTATCTTTTGTTTCTTTCGTTGGCTGACTTAAGGCCACGTCGTATATTTATCTCCTATGTTTTGTATTTTCTACTTTATTTCTTTATAGTATTAATGTATATATATGCTCGACTCTCTTGGTGCTTTCATTATAAAAAAAAGTTTGAAAGTTTGCACGTTTTACTATTTCTTGAACCTTGATATTGTGTTTAGTGCATTAAAAATTCCTTTTGTTTCCTAGATGTACCACCTCCACATAAATTTGATCTTTTTTGGTACTAATTAAATTTCATGAATACAAGTATGTTAAAGATGTTACTTGTATACTGAAGGAGAATTTACTCTCTTACCCTAGTCAGATTGTATGCTCAATTTTTAACTTTAGATTAAATGCTTGCAGGTGGTTATGGAACTCTCGAAGAACTACTTGAAGTTATAACCTGGGCTCAATTAGGCATTCATGATAAACCAGTATTTCTCGACATGCAGCTATCAATCTTTCTAATTTTCTCATAGCAGTTGCCTAAAATTTCCTTGTTAATATCTTTCAAAACCGAAAATCCCTGAGATATGGCTTTGAAAGAATTTCAGAAGTAATGATACATGAGGATTACACATTTTGCAGGTAGGTTTGCTCAATGTGGATGGATACTACAACTCATTGTTGTCATTCATTGACAAAGCCGTTGAGGAAGGCTTCATTAGTCCAAATGCTCGCCAAATCATTCTATCTGCACCTACAGCAAAGGAACTAGTTGAGAAATTGGAGGTATCTTTTCTGAATTTTCATGACTAATATACTGAGATTTTTGTTGATTATAGTAGTAAACGAACCAGATTCCGCCTTAAGAAGCAGAGAAGTTCAATTTTTTGTTGAAACAAAAAGGAAAAAAAAAAAAGAAAGAAAGAAAAAGAAAAGAAAAAACCCAAAATTTTTTGGGGTCATCTGACCCCATGTGGGTCTGCCCCTGCTGTTATGAATGATTTTCGAAGAATGTTGAGTTATAATCTAAAAACTTGGAAGTTTAGATGAAGATGAATTAATATATTTTATATGATTGTAGTAGCAGATGCCATTACCATTTCTGAATGTGCAAACTAAAATCAATTAGAGTAATTCATAAATTCAATATATAGTTGTAATGGTTAGTTAATATAGTGCTTCAAGCGCTCTATATCAAGTTCTGGATATTCATAGTGACTCTCTAAAAACCCGAGTCATTATATTAATTACCCGGTGTGTCTATCTATATATCTGACGAGCTTTTTTGCTTATGAAGTAGACTATTCCTAGTCAAATTATATTAAAAATTTAAATATTATTCTCAATAAATTTGGTTTCATGTATTAAATTATATAAAAAAAAACTTTTGGGAGGCATTCACAGAATTCTGCGAAGAGACACACGTGTGGGTCCCATGTGTGATTAAAAAAAGAGTTATTTTACACATACAGACATTTAAGTGTATAGATATTGTACAGAATGCTCACATCAGATTTTTTGACAATAAAATATTCATGTGGGACTCATTCACTTTGTGAGATCTGTACACTTAAAATTCTGTACACTTAGAATTTTTGTAAAAAAAAAAAAAAGCCAAATTTATCACCTACACAACCCGCTGTGAGTTGTATTGGAAAAAATCTGTGAACTAGAATTTCTGTAAGTGCAGTATGGTCCTTTAATATCTGCAGTTTCTTTTTGTAGACAAATGTGGAAGTTGGGTGGGGAAGGAATTTCTTGTTATATGGTTATCAGTACCCTATAGTGCTGAACATCATCAAATGATCTTTTTAGAGGCTTCCATTTTATCATCAATTTTGTCAAATATCTGGCTGACAGATTTACATAGTTTATGGTTGGGTATATTCCACTTGGGACAAAACGAATCCATTTGAAAGCTGTCCTCTCTGAGTCTGCTTCATCTGCTCTATTTTTACCTCACTAGATAGAGTTTTATAATAGCTCCATGATTACTTTCGAAATTCTTTGTGGTATAAATAAAGCAGGGACGCGTTTCATGATAACCTAAGAATATTTGAAAATTTGATTATAGAATTGGAGGAAGTAATAGAAAAGAAGTTCTTGCTTGCCTTTAAATTTATTGGAAACAAAGTTAAAGTAGATTACAACTTTAGTTTAATCCATTTGAGCTCATTCGTCACTTATTTTAGAGTACATTAACAAAATTTTTGAACAAAGACCGTTGGCATGGACAATATGTACTAATTAAATGAAGGTTTAGCGAACCTAAATAAATTATGTTCCATTTATAAACAATTGTTGTATGAATATAATTACCATTTTTCTTATATCCCTTGCGAGGGCCTTTCATGTGATACAATTGACTTGTTGCAATGAGTTGGTCGTGGATCGTGTTGCTTAGCTACTAGAAAATGGAATATGGGGCCATGTACTCGATTTTTGGGCGTGAGTAAGGTTTCGGTAATTGGTTTAGTTGAATTGATTCCTATATTTCTAGCAGTCAGTTCAGGTTGATCTTCCTAATAAATTTTGATAGGATGTCAAAAAATGTATATAATAATGCTGTATAAATATAATTTTGCCCTCTAGATTTAACATTGACATATCTTATATCAACAAACTCTAAGTTAAAAGTGAAATCTACTACACAAACATGGTACTTCTATTATTTCTACACATTTGGCTGAATGGGCGCAAAGTAAACTCGGTGCATATTTAGAACACAATATTCAACATGACTCGATCATTTCATCTTTAATACTATGTTGTAGCATTCAATCCAAACATACTATCATCGTCTTCCGCAACCCTTGCAAAGCTCTGGTCTTTCTTGATCATCAAAAATCACTCTTGCAGCGGACATTGAACGAAACCCAAGATCACTAACAGTCTTTCTTGAACAAATTTCTTGCTGGTGAGACCTTTTACAATGTGCAATGGCGGCCTGAATTGAGTTCTCAAGCTCTGATTTTCCACTTATACTTCTCTTCAAAAACTTCATCTCCTGAAATCCATTAGAATCCGTTGAACTCGAACTCAAACCTGAATTCGAAGAATTAGATGATGAAGACAAAGCTGAAGATTTAACCTTAGATGTTCTCTTAATGGCTCCTGAAAATGATTTTCTGTGACATTTTGTCTGAATTTTCCCAGATGGGATATCTTTAGAGGTCTTGGAATCTTGCAATGCACATTTTTTGGCCTTTGAAATTGATCCTTCATAAACTATATTTCTTGAGGACTCAACTGAGCAACTAGATTTATTGAACAAAGATTTGAGATAAGCGCGGGAAGCTTTGAGTTTGGATCCAAGTGTGGATTGCTTAAAAAATTTTAGAGGTTTTGTCCAAGATTTGTTCGTGTTTGAATTGGCCGGTTTTTCCTCGAAAACCTGTAACACAATCAGATAATGATATATTATAACACACAGCAAAAAGTAAAAAATTAGGCTGAGATAAGGGTATTTCGCTCTCTATAAGGAAAATCAAAACATTTGCGGTATCATGATTTAACTGAAACATGTCTAGCTCTAACCAATCTACGAACTCAAAGATCCAAACCCTTCATTTGCCAATAATATTCTCGTAAGGAGTGAAAGAATATACTATCAAAGTAATACCAAAGAGATGCGAGCTATTTATAGGCGTTTTATATCCGTAGAATTTTAAAATTTGTGTATATTAAATTTTTATGTTCTTCACTAACAAGCCATATTCAAGAAGAATTCTACCATTATACAAGTAATAATGATCTATAGTCTCTAGTGTTAAAGGGTAAAACCCCACATGATTAAAGATGAATACAATGAGCAATATAAAAGGGCTTGGGCTAGAATATCTCACATAAGTACTCGATTGATCAGTCGAGTATTCAAGAAAATATTCGTCGGGATTCAGTTCTCTGCTAACTTGGCAAGAATCAGCGGGAGAAATATGGCACGACTCAAACGGAGTATTGGATGCAGGAGTGAATATTGGAGTGCTGAATAAGGATTCTTGTAATGGTTCAAAAGTGGTGGAGGAATAACTATTATGTAGGATTTTCTCCACCTTTTGGAGGCAGGGTGGGAGGTTGAGGGGGAGGAGTTTTCCTCTGTAAAAGAGCTCATCCGCCGGAGAAGTGGTGGTGTCTCGGCCGGAGGAGCACGAAAAACTTTGAAACTCAAATTCTTTATGGTGTGAAGGTGAAAAAATGGTGGTTAATGAACCTACTTCCATGTCAATGCAGCTTTCATTTGCATCCATATTCTCTCAAGAGAAGATATACAGACAGAAACACGTAGTGGAATGTGAGGTTTGGGGAAGAAATGGAGGGGAAGAGCATCATTTTAAAAACGCAGTGGATGAGAAATGTGAAAACGGAACATCAGGAAATTTGTCTTTACCTTGCCTCCACTCATCCATGTAGGACATGTTACCTGCCAAAATTTTTGTTCACTTCTGTTTCTTAATAATACTTAATTTCATCGGGTTCACTTATCAAATAGAGAAAATCCATTTGTATAAAAATGGATTTCACACAAATAATACAGAAACTCTCACATGGGATGAGCTCCATATGAATAAAATAGAGCACGCGCGCACACACACACATACACAAAAAAACCTTCCTGCTGTATCTTATCTCGAGGGGTTTTGTGACCCCTCCTGTACATATAGCCTGCTTGTATCAAATATTGCCTCCCACAACACTAATACTCAATTTTGTTAAATCGGCCACCTCATCAAGAATCCACACCTCTTATTAATGTGTGCATGTGTATATGTTCGACTTCAATGGAAAAAGAAAAAGTGAGTACCTAAAAATGCATCTTCACATACCAAAAATTACGTGGACATCCGTTTCAATTGGAGTTGACGAAGACACAATGCCATTCAAGCCTTTCTAATGTTTTTTAAGGAGGTCTGGATAAAATTTCTGAGCTAGAACCTTCTAGTTTAGTATGATCTTATTGGATGGTGAACCAGAACAAAGTTTACATGTGCTAAACATTGAGCAATTCCCTAATTAATTAATGATTTCGAATAATCGAAAGAAGTTTTTTTTTCTAACCCTTTTTTGATAGGTTCTATTTGATAAATTCAATCCAACATAATCCTATTTTGCGACAACAAAACTCAAAAAAGAAATAAAATAAACAAAATTTAATTGTGCCTAACCAATTCGATGTGAAAAACATAAACCAATCTAGAAATAAGTTTCATTATACACTAAAATTTATTCTTAAAAAAACTGGAATGACAATCAATAGGCCAATTTAAATTATTTAATTAAAAGTGAATCAACTGACGATGAGTTGACTGAGTTTCGCTTTGAGCTAAATATTTCATCATTTTTCAATTTCAATCATCATTTTTTATTGGTAAACTCAAAGGGCAATGCAATTTCAACCAGGTTTTCAGGTTGATATTATAAATTTTATTACTCAAATAATAATAAATTATTCTATGTTAGTTACTTTTAAGTAAATAAAATCTTACTTTTCTCAACCTTGGAAGTGAAGGAATCAAACCCATTCTCTCCTAATCACATATTAATTTATATCACCTAATTAATAGAAAGATTAAAAGAACTTTATGCTTAGGGTTGGGCAAATCTCCCGAACCGAACCGATCGAACCAAATCGAATTGAACCCGATGGTTATTTTCAAATTAAATACCCGAACGGATATCTGAATTGAGAACCGACGAGTATGGTTCGGTTCTTGGTTCTAGACGAAGAACCAAATCTTTCTAATTTTTTTTATATTGAATAAATCAAATTATTTTAATTTTAATTTTTTTTAAACAAATTAACAAATTAACAATTATTTTGGTCCAATAATTTGTTTCATTTCTAATTTTTTAATTTTTGGCTCAATTACCCATTTTATTGTTTCATTTCTTAACCCAACAAAGATCC